TGATTCGTCAGTACATTCATACATAGTATATAAATATTTATATAGCTTTACATTCTGTGATTCTGTTTGTTTCAGGACCCCCCCGCCCTTCTCTAAATAATTGATGGCGATGATGATGATGATGGTGAACCTAAGGCTATAAAAGCTGGTAGCAGCAGCAGGGTAAGACACTGTACCTAACCCAGTGATAAAGGGAGAATGCAGAAGAGAGAGGCTTATGGGAGTTTGTTTGGGGGGATTTTGATTTGGTCATTGTGGCAAAAGAAGGGTCTTCTAAAACGTCTGCTCGGGCATGGTTGTGTTGAAGGGGTAGTCCCAGAACGTGGTGGTGATCCCAAAACCTGGAAAAAATACAGAATGAACAGAAGGCTTTAAAGAGACCAAATAAAAACAGTGCAAACAGCAGGTTAAATGTAATAAATAAATAGTTAAATATTTTTGAAAAATATGATATGATATTAATATTAATTTATATTAATAATAAACAATAATAATAATAATTTACTGTGACCTTAAAAAATACATTGTTGTATACAAAAAAGTCATTTGAAGAGTTTTTTTATTACTTTATTTTTTTAAATATTTTTTTTACTCTAATGCTTTACAATACCTAAGTTTGCAAAGTCAATTATAAATTAAATCGAATTAAATTACATTAAATTTAATAAAATCCCTAAAAAGTGTAAATGTCCCAACTAGTCCTTACATAAAAACAGTGTCTGAAAACCTGTAAAAAAAAAAAAATATATATATATATATATTTTTTTTTTTTTACAGGTTTTCAGACACTGTTTTTATGTAAGGACTAGTTGGGACATTTACACTTTTTAGGGATTTTATTAAATTTAATGTAATTTAATTCGATTTAATTTATAATTGACTTTGCAAACTTAGGTATTGTAAAGCATTAGAGTAAAAAAAATATTTAAAAAAATAAAGTAATAAAAAAACTCTTCAAATGACTTTTTTGTATACAACAATGTATTTTTTAAGGTCACAGTAAATTATTATTATTATTTAAAATGTATACATTTAATATATTTTAAAAAACAAACGTAATAAAAAATACTTTAAATGACTTTTTTGTATTCAACAATGTATTTTAAGATCACAGTAAATTATCATTATTATTATTTTAAATGTATACATTTAATATATTTAAAAAAAATAATAAAAGTAATAAAAAATACTTTAAATGACTTTTTTGTATACAACAATGTATTTTAAGGTCACAGTAAATTATACATATTGTTTACAGTAAACATTTTTATTTACTTTAACTTGGCACTGGTCTTAAGCTCTTCTATTTTGTAGAGAGATGCTCTAATGCCCATCATCTCAAATCTCATGTCCTCACCTGCCCTTTGGTGTTCAAAGTGGTGTTTGACGTGGTACGCTTTCAGCCCGTACAAGTAGGAGCCTCTCCGTGGCGAGCCGTAGTGCAGGTAGTAGTGGATCATGTCGTAGACCACGTATCCACACAGACCCCCGACGAACAGGGAGGTTCCCAGACCCTCAGACAACAGCTGCCTGAGTATCAGGTAAAAAGCGCCAATGGCGATGGCGGCCAGACTCGGAGGAAACACCAGACGTGAGCCGTCAAACGGAGACTGATGGGTAAGAAAAGAGTTGGGTTGAGGTTCGTCAATATCTAATGAATTATGTCAATTCAACTTCTCAATTAATTATTCATGAATCTCAAGTATCGAACAAAATCACACACCTTGTGGTGCTGACCGTGCAACAGGAAGTGCAGTGTGATAAGGTAATAATTGTGAGCGGGCGGGCGCATGTGGAAGACGAAGCGATGGATGCAGTACTCGATGAACGACCACAGGAACATGCCAAGCATGAAGATGAACGGAAAGCTGTACTTGTGGACCAGAATGGAGTAGTCTAAAAAGTAAATGTGTAAAATAAAAAAAAAATAATCCACCAATCCATAATCCTTCACTGAGATCATTTACTTATTTAACTGTGTCACTTATGTCAGAAGGGTGTTTCTGCCAGTATTGTTAATGTTAACTAAAACTATAAAAAATGTTTTTGGTAATTGGAATAAAGGTAAACTAAAATGAAATAAATATCAGATGGAAAAAAACTTAACATTTTGCCTTGGCAACTAACTGAAATAATTAGGTTTAAAAATAAAAATAAAACAGAAATCTATATTAAATTAAAGCTATGTAGAAAGCCCCCCCCAAATAAATTACTACAAACTATAAAATAAAATATACATGTAAAAAAGCTCAAAAACATTCTAAATATGAATAAATACTATAATAGTTTATAAATACTAGTAAAGTAAAAATAATACGTCTGAGGACTAAGTAAATCAACTAAGAATGTCTTAAAACACACTTTTCACACACCTGATGTAATAAACAGTCTTGTCCTCTCTTGTGCCAGTAACGAATAGCAGTACCAGCACAGATAGATCACCAAAGGCATCCATACAATTGGCACCATGTACCTGCAAAAACACACACATAACAAAGTTCAAGTATCTGTTAATTAACCACCACACACATAACGTAGCAACTCCTGTAGCATAACACTATTACTTATTAAAGTACAATGTTTAACTAAACAAACACAAGCAGTAAATCCTGTAATGTGATTTGTCTTACCAAGAAGTCTTTGTGTTGGCTTCGAAAAAGTCATTCTCAAACAGCCTGATCGGTCTGTCCACAGGCTGATGGACCCACGTGTCATATTTCTCTCTGAGGTATCCCACCTGCCAGGCCAGTGGCTTCCGCCAGTCTACCAGATCCTGTATGCACAACGAAAAAAATTGAAATATTATTTTATATTAAATAAATATTAATACATATTATTATAATATAATTAATAATATTCATAAATATTATTTATAACCAATAACA